TGGTCAATCGATCCACAACGACCCATATTGAATCCACTGGGCGCGCCGTCCGAGGCAATTTTGTGATAAAATCTGTCATAATTTCTTCCCATTTCCATACGGGAACACTCAACGACTCCATTTTGCCATGAGGTCGTTGATGCTCGGTCTTGACTTTCTTGCAAGTCAAACACCTCCCCACATACCAGGTGACGTCTCGTTTCATGCATGGCCACCAATAGTCAAGCCGGAGATTTTTATACATTTTTGTCGCTCCGAGATGGACAGAGAACCTCAACTTGTGCGCCTCCTCCATCAAAACCTAACACACACCACCCTAATATGGAACCCACACCCTACGATGAAGGGTTAATAATCCTCAGCTATCATAATCAAGCCACCTGACCCACTCTGCGCTCACTCTTCCGATGTTCTTCCTTCATGGACTCAAACTGAGCCACTCGAATCTGCTTTAAAAGTGGGGTGATCACGGTCATCCTCAAACATACATCCTTGATCGGGGTGTTTACCGCCTTACAGCTAAGAGCATTGGCTACCATGTTGGCCTTCCCCGGGTGATAAAGGATTGTACAATCATAATTCTTCACCACATCTAACCATCTGCGTTGCCTCATGTTCAGATTCAGATGATCCTCACATACCTCAGACCCTTGTGATCCGTGTATATAGGACAACAGTATCCACAGAGGTAATGTCGCCATATCTTGAGGGTAAAAACCACAGCCCCCAACTCCAGATCATGTGTAGGATAATTCGCCTCATGAGGCTTCAGCTTCCTCGAAGCGTAAGCGATCACGTGACCCCGCTGCATCAACACTGCACCCATACCTGTGATTGATGCATCACAGTACACTACAAAATCCTCAATTCCCTCCAGCAGGGTCAGAATCGGCGCCTCACACAATCTCCGCCTCAGAGTCTCAAAAGCTACCTGCTACTCATGCCCCCAACGAAACGTGACGGTCTTCTTCGTCAACTAGGTCAAAGGAACCGCTATCTTGGAGAATTCCTGAATGAATCTCCGATAATAACCCACCAATCCAAGGAAACTCCGAATCTTAGATGGAGACCTCGGAACCTCTCGCCTCATCACCGTCTCAACCTTGGCCGGATCGACCAGAATACCGTTCTGGTTCAAAAGGTGTCCCATAAACTGCACCTCGCGCAATCAGAACTCACACTTGGAGAACTTCACATACAACCTCTCGCTCCTCAAAGTCTCCAATACCTCCCTCAGATGCTCCTCATGCTGCTCCTGGGTCTTGGAATAGGCCAGGATGTCATCAATAAACATAATCATGGACCGATCAATCATGTGCATGCATACACGATTCATGAGATCCATGAATGCAGCTGGAGCATTGGTGAGCTTGTAGGGCATCACCACAAACTTGTAATGACCATAACGAGTTCGGAAGGCCATCTTCTGTGTATCATCTGATGATAACCCGAACCCAGATCAGTCTTGGAAAACCAAGATGCACCCTGGAGCTGGTCAAATAAATCGTTAATCCTCGGAAGTAGATAACAGTTCTTCACCGTTAATTTATTCAGCTCCCGGTAGTCTATACACATCTGATGCTACCCATCCTTCTTCTTCACAAAAAAGACCGATTCTCCCCACAGTGAACTACCCGGCCAAATAAATTCATTGTATAACAACTCCTGCAGCTATGTAGACAACTCCTTCATCTCTGGAGGTGACAACCGATAAGGTGCTTTAGCTATCGAAACCCCACCTGGAACCAAGTCAATCTGAAGCTCCACTTGCCTCTCCATAGGAACTCTAGGCAAATCCTCCAGGAACACATTTGGGTACTCACAAACAATCGGTACATCACTCATAGTCGTCTTACCATTCTCCCGGGTATCGATCACATAAGCCACAAATCTAGAACAACCTTGTTGGAGATAACGTCTTGACCTAGCTGCTGAACATAGAAACGAACCATGCTGAACACCCTCTCCCTGCATCACTAACTCTCCCCCACTTGGGGTCTGAATACGTACCATCTGATGCTCACAATCAATAATTTCCCCATTGGGGCTCAACCAATCCATTCCCATAATAACCTTGCTCTCACGCAGAGGAATAGTAACTAAATTAATCGGGTACCGCTTACTAAACAACTCCAATATAAAGCCCCGTTGAACCCTCTATACTTGCACAGGTCGATCATCAGCAATCTCAACCTCTAATGGATACTCCAACTCCCCCAGAGCATCGACAAACCTCTTGTTGAGCGCGAGAGATACAAGCAGGAAAGTAGGAAAATCAACATAAATAAAGAGATACCATTCACAAGGAACGACCCTAAAAATAAAACACAGATATAAGCAGGAAAATCAACATAAATAAAGAGATAAGGAGAAGATACATACCTGTCACAACATCTGGTGCTGCACGAGCCTCCTCAGTTGTCAGCTGAAATGCTCTACTCCTTACAACAGGTGCCTCCACCTTGCCCTGACGACCATTTGTAATCCTTAAGGTCGCCGGAGCGGGTGCTGCAACTAGTCCTGCTACTGCTAGGCTCGAGCAGTTGGCCTTCTTATGGGCTCTTTAACCGTAATGAAAGCAAATCATATAATATACCTGGGTGGTGGTGGTGATAGTGCAATCCTTGATGATATGTCCCGTACTGCCGCACTTGAAGCAGCCATAACCACCCACCCTGCAAGCTCCATCGTGCGTCTTGCCGCACTTGCCAAAGCGGCCACGACCATGCTGGACCCTCAATCTCGAATCAAACACCTTGGGCCTCTTTCCCGAGCCCTATGAACTCTGAACCTGGTCCGACTTCCTTTTCTTCTCCATCTCCAAATCAATCTCCCTCTCCCTAGCTCTCGTCACCATATCTTCCAGTGTCATGCAACTGGATATGCTCACAAACTGTTTGATATCGCTCCTCAACATATCGTGATATCTCACCTTCCTCTTCTCCTTCGCCCGCCACATACTGCGGAAACAACAATGTCCTCTCATGAAACATAGCGGTGATCTCCGCCACTGCCTTAGTAGTCTGGCGAAGGTCCTGAAATTCCCTCGCCAACTGTTGGACCTCAATCGAGGGTGCAAAATCAGCTCGAAACCTCGTCACGAAATCCTCCCAATTCATCGAATCAACTGCCTCGCTTCCCAAGGCGTGACCAACCTCGTCCCACCAGTATCGAGCTCTATCTTTCAGAAGACAGGATACAAGTCTGACATTTTACCCCGCAGGACAAAAACTAGTGTGGAAGGTGTTCGTGACATCCGCTAACCAATGCATGCTCGCAATCAGACCCTTCTTCCCGATGAACTCCGGGGCTCCACATGTTCGGAACTATCTGAAAGTCAAAGTGCATGCTCCTACCATCACCACCATATCAGAATGAAAAGCACCCAAGCGCTCATCTAGAATCTCCATGATACCCACCTTGATCGTACCAAAGATTACAAGAGTCTGCTCCAAAATACTTCGTGTAATCTCTGGTGAAATGAACTCCTGCATCTGCTCATCTATATGTCCGGCCCCAGAGACAGAACCCGAACCACTGCCAGAACCTTCTCATCTGGCCACCATACTGAAAATAGTCCATGCAAACCATCAGAATATTCTCGAAGAATCCCACATTCTACAAGCTCCCTGGTATCATCTTGACTTTCCTTGACTCGAGTACGGATCCTCTTCTTCCAATAGTACGGGTCCATACTACCTTCCACATCTATCCGTACTTTCCTCAAGGATCGCCCCAAATCCTCCAAGATACTTCAATATCAATCCAAACAGCCCCTATCACAACAAAGCTCTCGGCACCGAATCACCTCCAAGATTTTCCTAGGACTACCACCATACTACTCTTCGCTATCAGATGTAGAAGGTACTCCCTCTAACACCCTCTAACTAGCTCACATACACTATTACATATCACTGACACCAGATAATTCTTTGAACGAAAGGTCTCACACTACAACGGTTGGACTCAGACAAGAGCTGTGCAATAGGGTTAAACCTAACCTTCTGAAATTATCTAATCTCGGAAATATGTAACTTAGCGTATTTGCTTACTAGTTAGCTGATGATAATAGGAACCCTAAAAGCATAAAGCAAGTAGCATTCGAGCATCGAGTAAATAGAATCAAAGCATAACCTAAACAAGGCATCCTATCACTGAATGATCTAATACTACCATGCAAGTCTACAAGCTCATAAAATAGGCATATAAAAGCATATCTCCTACATTCTATCATGCAAATCCTAACCAGATGCTTAGCCTTAGTCCAGCATGCGATTCACAGATTCACAATTCAAAGCATATCGCGAGAATATGCATGGGTATTTTGGAAAAAACTTACTTGAGCTCGGTCTATTGCATACACCACACCCCTTTCTTTTATTAGAAAACTCTTTTATAAAACATTCACTAATAGAAAAACAGTCTTTTACGACGCACAATGCGTTTCGTAAAACGCTCAGACGACACGCAAATGCGTGTCAAGGAAGGCCCTGTCATAACGAGAGACGATACACTTTTGCGCATCGTCTATAGACGACGCGCATTTACGACACGCATTTACGACGCTCATTTACGACACGCAATGAGTATCAAAGAAGGCCCTGTCATAAAGGTAGACGATACGCATTTGCATGTCGTAACCTTACGACACACGTTTACGACACGCAATGCGTATCACTAAATCCCCTCTCATAAAGGAAGATGACACACATTTTTGTGAGTCATAATCTTAAATGTTTCAAAAAATATATATTTTTATAGATTTACTAATTTTCAAATTAATTAACATTTAATGTTTCATAATACAAAATAAAAATATCATATATAAAAATACAATCCGTTGCACAAAATTAAATGTCATACAAATAATCGTTTCAATAGTAATAAATGTAATATCAAGTGTGAAGGAGATGAAAATCATCAACAAATAATAGCAGAACCACAAGAACTTGGTCACCACCTTCACAAAATCCGAGCTACTTTGTTTGACACTATGCACATCAACAAGACCTGTAAATTTGAATCATGAAACCATTAGATTCACATATTGAGAAATCAAAGTATACTATGTTATTTCTTACATTTAACCTTCTTATATGTAATAATATGAAATGAAAGTAGGATGCTATAATAAACACTCATATATAACTTAGTAGATTAAGACTAGTCCACATTTAGTCTATTAAGTAAAATAAAAAATAAACAAGACTTCAATTATAAGGATGAGTATGGGTTAGAAACCTCCACCACCATAAATGCCTGAGTTCTGAAGCTTTCCCCTGTATCCGAAACACAAATTGTATAAAAAAAACATCATATTAAGTTGGCATCCACATCAACCAAGAGATGAAAAATTATCTATTTATCGTGCAATCAGTTGCTAACTTGCTATATACAATATATAAAATGTTTAAAGAATGAAAGTTTTAACTAATAGTAAGAAAACAAATAACGAAATGAGGTAATAAGATAAATATATGCAAGTGAAGCACCAAATAAGACACTTACCTTATAATTAAGATGAGAAGGTGGAAGTATGATAGACCTGAAGAAGAAACATTCTGATAGGCATATGTAACCAGCTAATCTGATGATCGCAATTAATATTTAGTAAGTTTAGAGTTTTTTGGACTTTTAAAACATGTCATACCGTAATAATCTAGCATGTTCTTCAGCAACTTTTGACTCAAAAAAATGTTCCTTAGTTTCAGCAAAAAGATTTTGAGATTTTTCAATGAGTTTTATACGTGGAGTATGAAGTGGAGATCCTCTAGTTTCCATTGGATTCTTTGCTAATTCCCATGATTCTTTCCACAACAAGTAGGCAACATCCTACATTCAACAACACTTAGTTACATACAAACTTCTACTTTTGTTTTACCGAATCAAATCTCAGTGTTTAGCAAAACAGACTTACATGAAGTTGACCAGTAGAAAGAAAGAAATCCTTGAGAAACTCATGCTTATAGCACCTGAAATAATATAATAGACACATTCATCAAAAAATAATATGCATTTCTGGCCCAGAATGATTGAGATCTTGACACTTGGCCCTGAAAGCCTCGGCTAAAATTTTATTCATCGCAACTCTGTTAACAGTTGTATCAAGTTCCTTCTTTCTTAACTGAAAAGCTTCTTCTGCACCTTTAAACTTTGTTTCATATTTTAGAGTTATTTGAGCAATCATATCAGCTATTTCCTTGTCACGTTCAGATATCATCCTTTGTTTCTGCATGTATACACACACCCAAAAACATGAAATACCAAAAATAAATATATTATAAATTAAAATTAGAGACTAACCAAATCATCATAAAACTTTGTAACATTATCTCTATGGGCAAATAATCGCTCCAGTTCAGCTTGAAGTGGATCACCATGATTTGGTATCCGTGGAGCCACTGCCACTTGGTTAGGAAGATCAAACAGGTTTATCTCAGGCGGTTGAGTACTCTGATTTGTGATTTATCATGCTTCCGAGTTCTGTGTTGAAGTGTTCTGTTCTTGTTCCATAGTTTGTTGGTCGTTTACAGTTTCAGGGGTGTTTACGTCATTTTCACAAGTAGTTTCATTGGCTGGTTGCGTATCGGTTTGATTCTCAGCATGTGCTTCATCTTGTTTTCTAGTCCTATCTTCCTCATGTTCTCTGATTTCATCGCCACCTGGCACTCCCGTTTCACCAGTGTCATCAACATGATCTACCACCTCAACACCATTACCGTCTCCGTTACTATTCTTCTCTTGGTTCAAATCAGCTTCCAATGATTCAACATCATTGCCACTTCCATCACCTTCCTAAGCTGGAACTTCTTCATTTACTACCCCTACCACTTCATTTACTACCCCCGCCATGTCATCACCTATGCCCAAACTACCCCTTTCTTTGGACTGATCCTGAACCCTACCACCATCCAATTCCAAGGGCGTTTCAGCCATTTTATCACCCAGATTCCCAACAGAAACTGAAGTTTCAGTTTTAGCATCCACGTCAGCAGCAAGGAGTGTTGACTTGAGCTCTTTGAGGTGAATATCTTTATCTCTTTCATGTTCTTCAATTTTTTTCGCAAATTCTTTGTCAAATAATCTTAACTTCTCTGATCTTATTGAAGGGTTCTTATACAAATGATGAATAACAGCTTTATCCACTTTGTACTCATTTTCCAAATATGCCCTTCTGTCATCCCATTCCCTATTAAACTCCTCCATCTCTTCACTTAGCTTTTCGGTAGATTCCAAATTTTCTGCAACTGATACTTCAACATTTTGATTCTGTTGACTTTTCAGTTGATATTTTCTGCTCGGTTGACTTTGACTCTGTGCCAAATAGCTTGAGGTGGTGATTTCAAATCTTTTATTTCAACATATTTCTCTTCTGTCTCTGTTTGCTTTAAGAAATCCTCTTTAGCTTCTTCAAGCTTCAAGTGAACAGAATTCACCTGTTCTTCCTTACAATCAAAATTCAATTGCTTTTTTGCAAGGTCAAAAGACTCCCTTCTAACAATTTTATGTTTTGCCAGTGAGGCCCCAATCCAACACTGAAACGATGAATGACTTCATTAAAATTAAATACATTAATAATGTGAAAAATTAGGGCTTTAAAAAAAGTTCATACCAGTGATATCATGAAGGCCTGTAGAGTAGAAGTATCTTCCCTACTGACATTATAATTCTTGAGAACAAAATCAAGAAATCCGTCCACTTTGTTCTTGACATCCTCTTGTATTTTTATTTTTTAAGTCAAGAAAATATAATTAAAAATGTTACATTTGTATTATTGTCAAAAAGTAACATATCGGAAACTTTAGGATTTTACAAAGCTCATGCACAGTGGGATGTAGAAGCTCAGGAGATGACTGAGACTCGTTATTGACACCTGAAACAAGATCTGAATTATTTATTATAAAACTCAATGCACATAAATAAATTAAAATTTTGTTAATTTACCTTCATATGCCCCTCCGGTCCCCCATTTTATATGCCTTGAAGCAGGAGACTTCTTACGCTTCTTTACAGCATCAACAACAGGGGCAATTGTGTCCGATGTTTCACCATAATATTGTGTTCTTTTCCTTTGTCTTGAAGTTGACACATGTACAAATATCCATTGTGGGTATTTTCCCTCCAATAAATTTCTCCAAAAAACATGCGGCTGTTCTCCATCAAGGGCATATTTCTATTCCCATAATACCCACAGGTTTGAAATTTAGCGATCATTGACTTTTCTCCATCTTTACTTTTACCTTTGCTGGAAATTATATACAAAAACTCCTCCATTACATCCTTTAACAAGTTTCCTTCAGATGAAATATCCTTTCTAGATTCACTATGAAACTTCTCCAAGTTTTTAAACAACTCTTTCGCACCCCACATTAACAAAGCATCACAAGTCAACCTACTCAACTTACTATCAACAGCAACATTTTGTTGAGCAAGTTTTAAGATCTTTTCTTCCAGTGTGTTCTTGGAATACAAACAAAAAATCATTATTTGTTTTTGTTGTGAATCGGAATCGATTGATAATTTTCGATTATCGTTTGCTGGATTGAAATCACTATTGAATATGATTACAATGTGAACTGATGATAATTTGATGCTTGGTTGACTGGAGCGTTCTAGTAAAAAGATGAATTTATTTGGATTATTGTTGAAGCTGTTAAAAGAAATCTTTATTTTACTCAACCATACGTCACCTAAGAAGATGGAGTGTATATAAACTGGGAAAATTAAACAATCGGAAGATTCAGCAACAAAAAGCGTACCTCATGAACCTTCACGATGATCTGATCAACATTTTGCCCTAATTTCTCCGCAATAGCAGGTTCACCTTCGGTTCGAACTTCCAGAACGGGTGCATCCATTGTTTCCATTTATTCTTGAGACTAGGATCCACGATTGAAAGACTTTTGGAATAGTAGATATATTTTCCGACGCAAACAAAGCTCCGGTGACTGGCCGTAGGTGTGTCGCCGGTGATGTCCGTCGTTGGAGAGAGAAGAAGGGTTTGGAAACAGGTGGGGGATTTTGTCATGTGAGATAATTATAGAAAAAGTAAAAGAAAACGGTAAAGGAAAATATAAGTTACAAAATTTCCCGGCGTAAAAGAAACCTGGTGGAGAAGGAGAGACGAGAAGGTGGAGGTTTCGATTAAGGGTTGTTCAACTGGTAGCTTCGATTGACGGTCGTAGTTGTCGATCGGCGCTACAATTGAAAGGAGTTGCAGTCGCTGAACCATTTAGTGTGAGGATCGATTTGGAAGGCGGGGGTTTAAAAAATTTGGGGATTTCATTTTCCCTTTAAGGAGACGCGCGCGTTACTTAAAACAAAATTATAAAACGACATTCACAGAGGACGCACAAGTGCCCTCAGTGTTTTTAATTTTTTTACATAAGACACTAATTTAAGGGAACGCAATAATGCGTGACCTAAATTCTTAAATTTTTTGAAGAGATGACACTTTTTTAATGTCACTCTCTTTTTACGTAACATAAATCAATAAGTGTCGTTGTTTGCGCGTCGTAAGAGGGTCTTTTTCTTGTAGTGATTTCTTCTTATGAAAAATCTACCAAACCCTCAGTTTGAGTTCAGGCACACCCGAGAGTATGCCTGAATCCCTCAAACCAAGGCTCTGATACAAACTTGTAACGTCCCAAAGCTCAGAACCAAAAACTTTGTTTTTATATTAAATAATCCATCAACCAAATACGTTTGTCAAAACCATAAAGTATTCGGTGTGTATCAATAAACATCCCAAAAGTACATCAGAGTCAATAAAACGTAAAAGAATGGTGTGTGCAATGCGATTATCCCGAGCTCTTCCCATTTGAATCGGAAGTACCTGAAACATAAAATGAAAATCGTAAGCACAAAGCTTAGTGAGTTCCCCAAAACTCCTCATACCATACATACAATGGGCCTTTCCCAAAAACCATCATGTCCTGCTTAGAACAGATCTGTTAGTAACATGTGATGATCCCTGCCCAACACACTCATCGGGCCCACCTGGCATCGGCCCTCGCCCGGTATACATACAAAGACATACAATACATGCAAGAGTCACAAAGACAACTAGCATACTATAATATAATCCAATGGGCCGGAATTGGTGCCTTCAACCTGCAAGTACTATGAGGAGACTCACCTCACAAACCAGCTCAAAAGTCAACACGCCCTCAAAATCCCAAAACAGGTGCTAAACGCCACCTAGATACTCATACAAGGCAAGACCGTAATCTTCCTATTAGGACATTAACGGCTGAACAAAAGTCCACAAGTCAAAAGTCAACCCTCAAGGTCAACGGTCAAAGTCAACAGTCAATGTTGACTCCAGCCGACCGCCATGTCATGGTCTTCCTTGGCCACGTCGTGGCCCGCATACGAACAAACAGTCGGGAATTTCCTAACCTCCACGCCATGGTGACCTTTTACCATGTCGTGGTAGCCGAGGTTCCAATCAGCTTAATGCATTAAGCTATTTTCTTCGATTCCAAGAGCTCCAAATCTTAGATTTGGTCCAAAATGTGATCTAAAAGGATAAAGTTTCTAACTTTATCCATTAGGACCACCCAAAAGGTCCAAAACCCAAATCTCTAAGTCCCAAAATGCTTAGCAATTCAAGAACTTAACCAATAAGCACTTATTTCGTAAGGTACGAAGTCCATCCTTTCCAGAAGTGATTCTAGCACCAAAACTAACCTAAAAGTTGGTGCTTTATAGTCATGCATGTCCAATGCATGTCTTGAACCTATATTAGGTCAAAATGAGGGTTTATGACCTAAATCTCATGTATGGATTGAAAACCAAACCGAACTCTAGATCCAAGGCACAAATTACACCAAATGCCCCATTGATTCATAAGGTTGCAAACTTTAAGAGATCTCACCATCCCAACAAACAAGAACAAGAAGTTTATTGGACAAAACTCAAGATCTAGCAACCTATCATGATAAAAATCGAGTTTGGAAACGTACAAAGGTCCAAAAGAGTGTTAATATAACACATGTTTTCCTAGATGAGTCGAAGTAGGGTTTCAAGGGGGTCCAAAGGTTGGATTTTAGAGAAAAATTAGCCTCATGATGTGAGGCATAAGAGGCTCATGATGTGAGGTGGGTAAACATGAATTGTCATGCGGGATTAATCTCACGATGTGACAACAGAGTGCTCACGACGTGAGAACTGCTGCAGCCCAAGCCCATGATCTTTTAGGGTATCCTTGGTATTTAAGCACCTCTAAACTTATTCTAGGGTTTCTTATCAGCCCCAAACCCTCTGTCACCTAAAAAAACCTAGCCTCCATCCTTGCTTGATCTTTGGTCATCTGGAGCCTTTCTTTGTTTGGAAGAAGAAGAAAAAAAATAAGAAGAAGGTGATCTTTTGTGGAGACTTGCAAGGAATTATCATCATCATCATCTTACATTGTTTCTGGACCATTATAAGTATTAAAGTTTCCATCTTTATTGTCATATGAGGCTAGATCTAAGTTTTGTCCCACTTTTCTCTTTGGATGAGCAAGTTTAATGGATGGAAACAATAAAGTTGGCAACTTTATGGGTTATAATGGCCTTAAGAGTGCTATGGAGTTCATATCTAGAGAATGGTTGGGTTTTGGAACCTTGCATGAAAGTTGAATGTATTTTTGTTCAACTTTTGACCCAAATGAGATCTAGACATGTATTGGACATATATGTCTTAAAAGCATCGACTTTCAAGTATAGTAAGGAGTTGTAAGACATTATGGAAAGTTAGAGTTCTAGACATGTATTGGACATATATGTCTTAAACCATTGACTTTTGGCTTGGTTTGACTTTTGGTCAAAATTCTATTTTTTAGAAGGCAGACTTAGGGTTTGCCTTGTGCGGATTGATAGGAGGTGTCGAGCAACTGTCTTTTGGCAGGAGAGTAGTTACTCGAGGTTAACTTTATGATTTAGGTGAGTCTCCTCACTATGTTTGGCGGGTCGAAGGCACCAATGCCGACCCATGATTTATTATGATTAGGATGCTAGTTGTTTGTGTGACTCTTGCATGTGTGGTATGTGATATGTATACCACGCGGGGTATGATGCCAGGCGGGCCCCAATGAGTGTATTGTATGTTGTTTATATTAGTGATTCTTGCATGTATTTTATGTGTCTGTATGTATACAGGGCGGCTCTGATTCCAGGAGGGGCGTGGGGAGTATGAATGGGCGGGGCCCATCTCATGTTACTGACAGATCTGTTCCGGGCGGGGATCGATGTCGGGCGGGGCCCGATGCCGAGTGGGGTTTGATGCCAGGCGGGGCCCAATAGTTGTAGGGCAAGGCCCATTATATGTATGGTATGTGGTATTTTGGGGAACTCACTAAGCTTTGTGCTTACGGTTTATGTTTATGGTTTCAGGTATTTCCGGTTCGAAAAAGAAGGTCTGACGTGAGTGCACAACATCCCCCAGAGTTTAATTTCGCATTGATAATTTTTACTCTGATGTTTAAATGCTATTTTTATCTTGACTGGTTTTGAGAACAAATTTTTATATAAATTATTGTTTTAAAAATGAAAATTTTACTTTCGATTTTCGGGATGTTACTAGGTGGTATCAGAGCCTTGGTTTGAGGGATTCGGGCACACTTCCGAGTGTGTCTGAACTCAAACTAAGGAATTTATAATCTTTTTGAAAGAAAGAGAATTTTCTAAAAAGATTTTAAAGAAGAAGGGGGTATGATGCGTGCAATCAGCCGATCCCAAGTAAGTGATTCCCAAAATACCCATACATGCTTTTTATGTTGTATGTTATGAGAATTGCATGCTAGATTAGGGATAAGATTTGCTCAAGATTTCATGCTAGGAGAGATGCCTTTATATGCCTGATTTTTTGAGCTTCTAGAATTGCATGCTAGTATGGATTTCAGATGATTAGATTGATTGGCCTGGTATGTGATGCCTTGTAACCTAAGAGGAATTGGATGTTGTGTTAGATTTGAAATCTTTATTGGTAGCAAGTGAGCTCGAGATGTCCTCTATTTGATTTGTGTCTTGGAGTGTTACTACATGAATGTTGCTTGCTTTGTGCTTTGTTGGACTCTTGATGATGTGAGTTAACTATTAAGTGAATATGTTAAGTCACATGTTGTATAGGTTAAATAATCTCAGAGTGACTGATTTGACCCTACTGTGCAACTCTCGTTTGAGTCTAATCATTATAGGGATGAGTCTTTTACTCGAAGGATTATCTAAGCTTTGTTGCATGTGATTGTATTCATGAAGTAGTTAACCGACATTATTGAGAGTTTTTCAGCAGTTGATGGTAGGGTGAGGTCGGAACCTAGGAGAGCCTAGGGTATGTTATAGTGGGTTGATTGCGCTGTTTAGCATGTACTTGGGGTACCAGTTTGAGAAGGTGACTTAGAGGATTCAAGATAACTCTTGAGGAAAGTATGGATAGGTGTGGACGGTAGTATTAGGCTCGTATTATTGAAAGCGCAGGACCCATACTCGAATCGAGGGGGG